ATGACATTTTAAATCATTTTATTAATCTTTTCAAATAGACTGCCCCTCAATATGCGGATGAAGTGTTGGCCCGTATGTTAGGCGTGCGATCGGAGGGTTGTGGCGTTTTGCGGACCTGTTGTCGGGCACATCCCATCCCTGAGTTCGATATCCCTGATTTCCAACCACCAGTGGGTCCCTATTCGGGCGGTCACTACCAGATACCCGATAACAACGACTTTATCAAAAGATTTACAAACCCTTATCAGCCAAATGTTCAACAAATTCAAGATTATATCAAACCTCAGAGACCGCATAAATATGACTTTCCTGCTCAACCATATCGACCCTCTATTCAGCCGCTGACAGCCTACCCCTCTCAAGTAGTTCAAGCGAGTTATGACTTCTCCCCGAAACCTTTAAGTCCATTGAATCCAATTCAAGAATATACAAACATACCGACCCGTCCTTTCAATTCACAAATACCAGTTCCGCTTAAACCCAATAATTTTCCGTCAATTCAGCCCTTAAGGCCAGAACCAGTGCCCGTATATCCCGGTCATAGACCTCAGTTCGCCGCTCACTCTATTGATAGTATTGGCGGTGGTTATGGTGTTTGCGGTAAAAGGCATGCCGTAGGAATTCACGGAAGGGTACAGAATCTTCAATACCACGAGAGCTCCACCGAGTTTGGAGAGTTCCCGTGGCAGGTGGCCATCCTTAAGAGGTTGGGACCGGCCGACAGTCTCTACGTGTGCGGCGGTGCTCTCATTGCTCCCAATTTCATCGTAACGGCCGCTCATTGTCTCAAAAAGTAATACTTCAATAAATGTTTACATGTATTGCATTCATTACTAATCCTCATTCATTTCTCAGATATAGCCCGCAAGACCTGAAAGTAAGACTCGGGGAATGGGATGTTCACCGGGAGGACGAGTTTTATCCATATGTGGAGAAGTTTGTGGACGACATTGTAGTGCACCCGGACTTCTTCGCGGGCAGTCTACTGAACGACATCGCACTCATTAGACTCGACTCGCCCGTCGATTTTAGACACTCACCCCATATCGCACCGGTATGTCTGGCCGACGCGCACGAGCAGTACGCGGGCCACCGATGTTTTGTGAGCGGTTGGGGAAAGAACGCGTTCGGCCATCAGGGAGAGTTCCAGAGTGTGCTCACCAAAGTGG